TACTACTACTACTAGTACTACTACTACTACTACTACTACTACTACTACTACTACTACTACTACTACTACTACTACTACTAGTACTACTACTACTACTACTACTAGTGGTGGTGGTGGTGGTTGTGGTTGTGGTGGTTGTGGTAGGAGTAGGAGGAGGAAGAGGAGGAGGAGAAGGAGAAGGATTACTAGTAGGAGGCGGCACAGGAGCAGGGACAATTACCAGGATGATGACAACGATGACGACGATGCTGATGATGATGATGATGCAGATGATAATGATGATGACGATGATGATGATGATGATGATGATGATGGTGATGCTGATGACGATGATGATGATGATCAGAATGATTATGATGCTGCGGGTGATGCTGATAGTTAGGAGGAAGTGGAAGAGGAGAAGGAGGAGTAGGACGAGGAGGGGTACGAGGAGGGCTATGCTGATGATGATGATGATGGTGATGATGATGATGATGATGATGATGATGATGCTGCTGATGCTCCTGATGCTCATGCTTACGCATGGTGCTGCTGCTCATGATGATGCTCATTATGATGCTGATTCTGATGATGATGGCCGTGGTGATGATGATAGCGAGGATGATGAGGATGATGATGATGCTGAAGAGGATGATAAGGATGATGATGATGATGCTGATGCGATCGATGATACTGTTGATGGTGATGATGGTGGTTGTGACGATGACGATGCTGATGCTGATGATGCTGATGATGCTGATGTTGATGTTCATAATGATGAATATTATGATGATGCTGCTGATGATGATGATGCTCATTGTGATGCAGCTGATGATGATGAGGATGAGGATGAGGATGATGCTGCTGCTGCTGATGATGATGATGACGATGGTGATGGTGATGCTGAGTATGAACATGATGAGGATGATGAGGATGAGGATGTGGATGATGAGGATGCGGATGGTGAGGATGAGGATGATAAGGAGGATGAGGCATACGAATATGAATATGGATATGAAGATGATGATGATGATGATGATGATGATGATGATGATGATGATGATGATGATGATGATGATGATGATGATGATGATGATGATGATGATGATGATGATGATGATGATGATGATGTGATGATGACTGATGATGATTCTGATGATGCTGATGATGAGGATGATGTTGATGATGCTGATGCTGATGCTGATGCTGATAATGATGATGCTGCTGCTGATGATTATAATGATGATGCTTGCTGCTGAGATTGGTGATGATGCTGCGCTGCTGCTGATGATGATTGATGATGAGATGATGAGATGATGATGATGATGATTGATGATGATGATGATGATGATGATGATGATGATGATGATGATGAGGAGGAGGAGGAGGAGGAGGAGGAGGAGGAGGAGGAGGAGGAGGAGGAGGAGGAGGAGGAGGAGCTGACAGCGTCGTTTCCTGGCCTTCTGCAGGGCTCCGTCTGGCCCTCCGCGAGCCCCCCCTGCAGCCTTCAGAGGCAGGCCGTGGTGCCGCCGCGCCTCGCGCTCCGCGCGCCGCGCGCG